GTAAAAATATTATTTAACTTTCACCAAAGTGTTGGGATAATTTAAAAAATAATTTTTGTTAAAAAATAAATAAAAAAATAAATTGTTTAAATGAATCTTTTAAATGTAATTTTTAGAGAAAGCTAAAAGAGTTGAATTTTCTTTAATTATTGCAAGTAAAAATAATTTTTTGAATTTCACAATAGAGTTGGGATAATCCAAAATTATTTTCACAAAAATAAAGATTGATTTAAACAATGTAAAAAAATAATAAAAAATAAAATTAATAATAATTGATATCTTGAATTTTTTTAAAAATATATATAGAAAATTGAAATAGTTCGATTTTCTTTAAACAAGAGATTAATATTTAGATTTCACCGGTGAGTCGGGATAATCTAAATTTTTTTTATAAAAAAATTTAATTAAAGAATAAATAATAAAATTTTTAAAAATAATCAAATAAAGATTAATTAATTTATTCCTTTAACTATAAAAAAAAAGATTTTATTTAGGATCTTGCCAAAATGAGATAATCTTAAAACTTGTTCAAAATTTTTTAAGATTTCATAGAAGAGTCGGGATAATCTTAAAATTTATTTAATAAATTTTGAAAACTCATCAAAGAGTCAAGATATTGCTCAAATCCTTTTTTAAAACAAATAATTAAAATTTTATGACGAAGTTTCAAAAATTTTATGAATGATCAATTTTCTTGAAATATTTTCTAAATAATGATTTTCTATAAATTCTATCAAAGCGTTGGAGAATTTATAGAATACAAATTAATAATAATAATATTATTATTATTAATTTTGTAATAGAGAAAAATGTTTTAAAATAAATTTTAGGAAATTAAACTTAAATAAAAAAAATCACATTATTAAAATTATAGGATTACGTATGTTTAAATGGTACCGTTTTTCGACTGAGCGATGTTAGGATGCTAATACTTTCTTCACTCGTAACCGTACTGTATAACTTAATTTTGATTTCACAGATCTAAACTTATTTTAGTAAATTTTAATTAATTTTAAGATTTTTACTAAAAGATGATATTTTGGGTGACTAATCACATTTTATAAAAAAATTGGTGGCACTCCAAAAATTTTTATCAAATCTAATGATTGAGTTCTCTCGGACATAAAATCGTTATGACAATTCAATTTTAAATTCATGTAAATTTATTTATTAATTTTTTTTTATTATTGACATATAAGATAATATTTCTAAATTTTTTTTTAATTAATGTCTCACATGCCATTATTTTCTTCGGATGTTTCAACTTAGCTTCGTGACGAAGAAAACGTTAGTGGGCAGCCGACCTAAATAAGAAAATGAAAGCAGTGGGTCTATAATACGGAAATTCGTTGGTTTTGGACAAATTGGTTCAGCTTCCAAAACCCTAAATATATTTGTTACATTGCTTTTGCTTCCTTTCTCTTTTATTTATTCTTTCCCTCGTGCAAAATTGCTAGCAATATCTAGATGAAAATTCACGTGCATCATGCATGTCCTTATTTATAGTGACAATATGTTAACAATTATTGTCTTAAAACAATGAAACTAATGGAACATAAATTTAAAAATTCTTCCATCTGCTTTTGACCTTTAAAATGTTTTGTTCATTACAAAGACAGCCTTTTGTTTTTTTTTTTTTTTGTTTTAAATTTGTTCTTATATCTTTCATGTATATTATATAGTATTAACATGAAACATTTTTCTTAAAAATGAAATAATGAGCAAGCTTTCATAAGTGCACTTTGACCCGAAAACCATTTTATGGAAGTGGGAAATACCATTTTATTTGGGCTTGTGCACGTTTTGAGATTCAATGAGGGGACTCACTTTGAATATCACCAATAGTACGGACAAAGACTTTTGGAGACCTTTAGACAACTTAGGGCTATCAGCGAGGCTGAAGCTTGATTTTCAACCTTCATAATTTAAAATGCGATGATACATATAAATATAATATAATAATAAAATTTAAAATTTTAATAATTATTATTTATATAATTAATAAAATCAAAAAAATATATTTTATGATATTATGTTAATATAAATTATAATACATAATTTTTATATAAAATATAATATAAATAAGTAAATTTTAATATTTTATATGATATAAATATACAAATTTTAAAGTTTAATCTCCGGTATATTTTTAAAAGTTTTGGCCTCTTATATTAAAAAAAAAAAAAGCCTTTAGATAAAAATTCCTATGGTAATAGTTGTGTATCCCGTTAATAAAATATTAAAATTTAATTTTTAAACATCATAATTTAAGTTCTGACCAAAGAAAATAATTTCTATTGAGATGTGGATTCTATACTATTAATTGGACCTCTAAGAGTGCAAAAATTTTCAGCACTCGGAGCATCCAAATAGGCCTAAGCCATCTAAGCTCAAAGATGGGCTATTGGACTATGAAAACGAAAACTGAAATTGTAGCTGACTTGGTCCAAATTGAGGCCCAAAATAACTCCCCCTATTCGACCCAGCAGCCCTTCGGACTTTGGTCTCCTAACGCAATCAAAGCCTGTCTATACGACAACAAGATCCACTGCCATGTTTTTTTTCGGCTTGGGGTTCGAAAGTTTCTGGAGATGGTACGGATGGTGTGGATATGAACTGAGGATGACTTTCATAGCTTTTCTTTTTCAACATGACGATGACAAATTGATAAATCTGCGAAAGTTGTTACTATATTTTGGTGAGGGAATATTATGTCCTTGTAACATGCTTTCGTGCTTTGTAATTTATATTCCAAGAATCTAAACTACTTTTGCAATGTGTTGTTGCAGTGTCTGTCTATTATCTGGTTCCTTTGACGATTCTTGATAATCTTACTTTTATTTGATTTATTAAAGTCACTGCTGCGCTGTGTAGATGTTTGGTGAACCATACCTTCTTAATTTCCTACCTGTACAAGCTAACAACTGATACCTTCTTATATTATTATAGCTGTAAATGAAAGTAAATCCTCATAAGTTTTAATATAAATTTAATAAAAATAAAAATTATGTTTCATGTTCAACATTTTAATATAAATTATATCATAATAATTTTCATATTATTTTATATATTTGATAAAAAATAAATATAATGTTTATACACAAATTATTAAATCTAAATAAATTCACGGTCACAATATAATTTAAGTGACATGATTTTAGGATAAAGCGGATAAACTTAAAAAAATTTGTCAATTTTTTTCAACTATAAATTGGGATTTATATATTTTGTCAAAGCATATCTATAGAACATTTTTTTTTTAATATGGACAACTATTAATGCTTCAAAGCCTTCCATAACAATTCCAATTTGCAATGGAGAATAATCAAAAACTTTGAATTTGTTGGCAATTAGCATCTGTTAAGGCACCGTGTTTGGGAACAACGTTTTTTGACCTCTTGATTCTTTGTTACGTCTTTTAACAAACTTTTTTTTTTCTTTGGGGTTGAGCTATTTGACTGTTTTCCTCAAATCCAATCATTTAGGAGACAAAATGGAACCTCCAAGGTTTCCAATACCTTGCAACCCAATTTTCAAACCCTTAGATTCCATCTGATGACATTCCAATTTTGAAAATTTCTAACCTGTATTATTAAATAGAATTTGATTTTTACGTATCAAAGAGGTTATACCTGAAAAATAAAAAGTGAAAGATGATAACCGTTAAAATTTAAATATTAAATTTATTAAATGATATTTTTTAAAATAATTACATTAATAATTGTATTAAATATCAAATTCAAATTTATTGTTTAAGTTAAAATTTTCAAATTTGATAAATGTATTTTATTTTATTATAATAACTAAAGTTTTTTACTCGTACCATGCATGAAATTTTTTATTATATTTTTTATAATATTAAAATTTTAAATTTATAATAATTTTCATGCTTAAATTAAAATAAAATTTATATATTTTGAAATATTTGAATAAATCTAAAATTTAAAACATTAATTGATTGAATAAAATTATTTAAAAATATCAATAATATGAATTGTCCATCGAAACGTTCATATATGTAAATTTTATCAAATTTATATATATATTATAATATTATATTATATATGATTCATTCACTTATACAAAAATTAGATTAATGATTTGTGAATTTCGTACAAAAATTAACAAATCAGACAATTAATTTGTGGTGATTTTTTTTTTCATGTAAGTGATGGGATATTCTTTGTATATATAAAATTTTAATAAAAAGTTATATATTTCATTATTAATGCCTACATGACATTTTAAATGAAACATCCAATATCCAAAACAAGACATTAAGAAATTAAGATTTTAATTAAATTTTTTTTTAAATTATTAGTTTGAAAGGTTTATGAAACGAAAAAAAAAAAAAAAACTCTCAATTTATTAGATGATTCAAAGTGCATGAAAAACATTTGATGCTTTTTCTTTAAATTGAAAATTCATTGATTCCTTGACCCCTCCAAAGAAAAGTGTTTTACATAATTTATTTTACAAATTTCGAGAACAATAATTGAGTGAAAGTGTAAAACTCTTCATGCAAGCGTGAGGCATGCAATAAAATGTGGCCTTTTTTTTTTTTTCAAATTTCCATCATCGTTTCTTGTCCCACTGTAAATCTTTAAAAGAACAAAAAAAAAGAAAAGCAAGGCACGCATCCTTTATAAAAAAAAATATTAAAAGGAAACTTATTAAAGAGAAATACGAAAAATAAAAAAAGAAAACCCAAAAAGAGAGAGTATCGACTTGGAAGTATATGATTCGAAATCCACCACGTGCTCAATAAATTAATAAATAGTACCGTATTATTAACACACCGTCTGTGACCGAATCATCACCCAATTACACCGCCCGGAATGTGTACTGTTCACATATCGTCGGCAGCTTTCTCGTTCTGTGCACTCCCTCCCCATTTTCTCGCCACGTGTCCATCATAAATATCCGGGCCCCACTTCCCTCAATCAACTCCTATAATGGCCCCCTTCCATGTCTTTCTCTCTCTCTCTCTCGAAAAGTTGCCATTCAATTCCTCTCTCTCTCTCTCTCTCTCTCTCTCTAAATTCGCCGGCGAATTTCTAATTTATTTTAGAACCGAAATTCTTTTTTTTATTTTATTATTATCAGTTGTGGACACAGTCTCCAAGATCGGTTAGAATTCTGGTCAGAGGCATTTATGACTGTCGATCTACCTCGTGATCCGTGACGCAGAAACACGATTAATATAATAATTTTTCTCACAGAGGTAGAAATTTCTCTCTTCCTTTTTTTCGTCGCAAATTAAATTTAAACAATAAAAGAAAGGCAAAATTCAAACACCTGAAAAATTGTACTCTTCAATCTTCCTTATTCTTGCTTGTTGATGGTAATGCGGGGTTTGATAGGGTCCGTGCGGGTAAATTGATACTCTTTGGACCCTAATTTGACCGATTGGGAAGTCAGGTCTCCGGCGGCGCCGCCTTGATTCTTCGTGACGGAGATTAGATGTCGGGGCCACTGGATCGATTCGCTAGGCCTTGTGAGTTTAACTTCTTTCGTTTCATGAACTGATTTTACCAATTCTAGGGTTTAACTGTAGCTAAGTTTGCTTGCTGAGAAGATTTTGGTAGTGCGGATAAAGGAGGAGAAATTTAAACTCGATTTAACCAAAAGAGAAAGGAATTCGATTCTTGTTTTAGGGTTTCTGAAGAATTATCAGAAATATATATGAGAATTAGAAGAAAAAAATAGAATTTGATTTTCAGATTAGTTTTCTAATTCTTTCTTTATCTAATAACACTACTTGTTTGTAATTGTAATTTTCTGGTTGTATGTCTTGAGGCAGGCTTTGAGGGGTTTTCGGGTAGTGATGAGAGGAGAGAGAGGAAATCTGATTTCGAGAACTCAGAGGATGAAAGGCGCACAAGAATTGGATCCTTGAAAAAGAAGGCGTTAAATGCATCTACTAGATTTAAGCATTCTCTCAAAAAGAAGAGTAGTAGAAGGAAAAGTGATGGCCGTGTTAGCTCTGTATCCATCGAGGATGTTCGAGATGTGGAGGAGCTAAAGGCTGTTGATCAATTTCAACAAGCATTGATTATGGAAGAACTGCTTCCAGACAAACATGATGACTATCACATGATGTTGAGGTGCTCTCCTTCTCTTAATTTTATTTCATATTCCCCAAAATTGTAGTTTTTACTATTGGATGATTCTTTTTTAATATTGCAATGCAAGTTTTATTGGCACTGTTCTCTAGTCAAATGAGCAGTGGACCGCCTAATTACTGAACATTCTATCTCCAATATATAGTAATTTCTGTAATGATTGGTGAATGGTATGCTTCATGATTCACCGATTATCTTGACGTGAATTTGGAAGGGAAATCAATAAGAAGAATTGTGAGTCTATTGGTCTTATTTTGGTCATGTTCTTTGTTTTGTTTTTTCAAAATGTCTTCTTTGTGTTTGCTGATGTGATATATCTTTTTTCGTTTGAAGCCTTTTTGGATCATCTCTGCTGCTTTCTGCTTCTTTACTTGCCTTTCCAGCTTTGAATACTGTGGCTAGTAATAATTAGTTTCTTCCTTTACTCTTATGTAGGTTCTTGAAAGCACGGAAGTTTGATATTGATAAAGCTAAGCACATGTGGGCAGATATGCTCCAATGGAGGAAGGAGTTTGGTGCTGATACCATCATGGAGGTAGTTGCGGTTAATAATTTGCATGAAATAGTATTGGTTATCATCCATGTTTTTCACTGCATTTATCCTTAATTTTCAGGATTTTGAGTTCAAGGAGTTGAATGAGGTTTTAAGGCATTACCCTCATGGCCATCATGGTGTTGATAAAGAGGGAAGACCTGTGTATATAGAAAGATTAGGAAAAGTTGATCCCAACAAGCTCATGCAAGTTACAACTATGGATCGGTATGTAAAATACCATGTCCGGGAGTTTGAGAAGGCCTTCACTGTGAAATTCCCTGCATGTACAATTGCTGCAAAGAGGCATATAGATTCAAGCACAACAATTTTAGATGTTCATGGTGTGGTATGTTTCTTGTAATCACTTTTTGCCTTGTTAATACCTTATATTTGGCTGCGAATTAGTAGCTAACTGCTGATTGTTTTGTTTTCATCTATTTATCAGGGCTTTAAGAATTTTACTAAGTCTGCAAGGGACCTGATTATGCGACTGCAAAAGATTGATGGTGACAATTACCCTGAGGTCTGCCATCTCAATGTGCTTGCGGGATGAATTGCAAACTTGTGGTTCTAACAACATTTTTATATTAAGTTTTTTGAGCTGAAATTTATCTTCGGGTCTTTTTTATTTTGGCAGACTCTTCACCAAATGTTTATCATTAATGCTGGTCCTGGGTTTAGGCTGCTGTGGAACACCGTGAAGACATTTCTTGATCCCAAAACAACTTCCAAAATTCATGTATGTTAATACTTTTCTGCAATATTTTTGAAATTGAGTATACTTTCTTTTTTGGCTTTTGATTTCTCATTTATTTGTTGCTAATTTATAATTATACATATATTTATCATGAAATGACTTTAGGTTATTGGAAACAAGTACCAAAGCAAATTGCTTGAGATTATTGATGCCAGGTAAATGCACTTAGAACTTTCATGACATGATATATTGTTATCTTATCTTTGTTTTACTCCTATTTGCGATACAATTTTCATCATCATCTGTCTCGCTCGAAAAGAAAATATGTTCTTTTACTATATTTCACTTTGTTGTTGCCTCCTTCTGTCTAAAGCTAATGGCAATTTTCAAATCCATTCAGTGAGTTACCAGAATTTCTGGGTGGTAGCTGTACCTGTGCAGATCAGGGAGGTTGCCTTCTGTCTGATAAGGGGCCTTGGAAGAACCCAGAAATATTGAAGGTTATAAACTGGCGTTGGTATTTAGTATATGTTTTTAATGCTGTTAATTTCAAGGGCTTCATCATTGTAGTTGTTTGTAACAAAGAAACACTTTATTGCATGTGTTTCTTCTCAGATGGTTCTTAATGGTGAGGCACGGCGTGCTAGACAAGTTGTAAAAGTTTTGAATAGTGATGGGAAGGTTATTGCTTATGCTAAGCCACAATATCCAATGGTATATGATCTTTCTAACTTTCAATTGTCCTTGTCTTCTGGAAAATTTTGATGTTTTGAGGTAAAAGTTTTGCATTATCTCATTGCTTATTGTGCTGTGTGACAGTTGAAGGGTAGCGATACATCCACCGCAGAATCTGGATCAGAAGCTGAAGATATTGCATCCCCGAAAGCAATGAAGAGCTATTCGCAACTTCGGCTGACCCCTGTTCATGAAGAAGTGGGTTTTTTTTTTACCTTTTAATCTTCCGTGGTGGTTAGGGTATTGAAGTACTTTGCTTTTAGCTGATAATATGTTGGATTACGTTCATTATGAGTAATATAAACTTTTGGATAGAAGAGATCTTAACATGGAATTCTGCTTTTGGAACACTAAAATGCTTTGGAATATTAGTTTCATTAATATGACCCAGCAATTTGCATTCTTTTTAGGGTTTTCTTTGTTTTGTTTGGTCGTCAACAACATGCTATGACCTATGAGAATCATAATGACTTAAAAGGGTACTTGATGATGACTTCATTATGCATCTTATTGGGTTCTATACTTAAGTTTAGTATCATTGTTATTTTTAGCAAAGTTGCTAATCGACTGGTATGGCTTTGTAAATTATGCAGGCTAAGGTCATTGGGAAAACAAGCTATGCTGGTAACTTCTCAGGCTATGATGAATATGTTCCCATGGTAGACAAAGCTGTTGATTCTAGTTGGAAGAAACAAACCTCCCTGTTGAGGCCTGCTTCCAAAGGTTAACAAATATAATCTCGTATAACATGTCACCCTTTGGGATGCTACATTTCTTCTTAAAACCATGCTTAGACCGTTTATAACATGCTTAAGAAAATGAAATGCTATTTTGTGATTCAGGTACATTAGTGTTGCCTGAAACTCGTAAGACCCCAGAAGGAATTCAAGCTTGGATTTTGCTGAATCTTATGGCTTATTTCATGACACTTTACACTGTCTTCCGCTCTGTAGCATGCCATATAACTGGAAAGCTTCCTAACACAGTTTCCGGTCATTGTCAAAATGTTCCTGAACTTACCCCTGATGCAACTCAAGAGGAAGAGTTTCGCCCTCCTTCTCCAACCCCTCCTTTTACTCAGGCAGATCTTCTATCTTCAGTGCACAAGAGGTTGGGTGAGCTTGAGGAGAAAGTTGGTACTCTACAAGCAAAGCCATCTGAGATGCCTTATGAGAAAGAGGAATTGTTGAATGCCGCTGTATGCCGTGTTGATGCCCTAGAAGCAGAGCTAATTGCTACCAAGAAGGTACTGTTGGCAATCTTAATTATGTTATTATTTTCCAAAATATTGTCCATATTTCTGTTAGAACTCCCTGAACCGTTTCCTGTGAGTAGGTCATTCACACGTAGTGTCAAAGTGACAAATGTCTCACCTTGGTACTTTATTTATGAATTGTTTACATGGCTATGGAAAGAATTAAATGATATATGGCGAATTTCGCAGCCTGGGTACTTTATTTATGAATTGTTTACACGGCTACGGAAAGCATTCAACGATATTTTCATTAAAGCATCTGGTAGTGCTAAATGTTGTATTTTGCATTAGTGCAAAGGTTGGTAATGAATCTTCTCTGGAAGTTGGATTTATTACCTGTTATTTTGAAAAACAAAAAACCAAAGCCTTTTAGGCTAACTGGCTCCTCTGACTGCAAATATTTTGCAGAAATCTCAATTTCCTCTAGGGGAATATTTGTTATCAACTGATTAATCAGTTATTTTGGCATGCTTACAAGGCTTTTTAAAATTCTTGCAGTTGTGGTCATTCTTGCTTTCATTCTCTGAAAGTTTCATTTCTTTTTGCATGTATTTGCTATATTGAATAGGCTCTTCATGAAGCTTTGATGAGGCAAGAAGAACTGCTTGCTTACATAGACAGTCAAAGGGAAGCCAAACTGCGGGTACGTCATTGCATTGGTTTTTCCTATTGTTTATGTACATTACCTAGATTTTATGCATAATTTCTTATGGTTATATCCGATCTTATTGTGCTATGGTTGTGGCTGATATTCCTCTCCGTTTCAGAAAAAGAAGTTTTGCTGGTGATATGCTTTGCTGATGGAGAGACTACAAAAATCAGTAACTGTTTTGAGTTCCTTTCTGTTTTACTGTTCAACTTCAACATCAGCCGCCTATGTTGATCTTGTGGAGGATATACCGCTATGAGCAATGTAACTGTGTATCCGCTCATAATTGAATATAAATCCTACTGCCCAGAAATGCACAAGAACCATAATGGAACTGTCTTTCTTTCGGCTTATTTCATTTCCCTACTCTTTTTCCTATGTAATGTCTGAAATTGTCGCACTTCTTAAAGTAAAAGGGTTCTCATATTTATATATGTTGCTTTTGGAACTTTGTTGTCAAAAGTTAGATTTGTTGAGCTTCACTTATATCACGATTTCTAACGTTGTAAGTTCCCCTAATAAATACTTGGCTTAACATGTCAGAACCCGGTTTTGAGGTTTTACTGTTCGACATAAAATTGTAGCTGGGTACTGCAAGAAACCAACCATCGGAGCAACCATAATGTTCGAGAACTAACTACAACTGAGGAAAACAAGAAAATTCTCAGCTCTCTTCGAACAGGTTTCAAAAATTGTCTCTGACAATGAGCATTGAAGCGATGACAGAAAGTGATTGCGATTAGAGGTTCAAATCCTCGACTCTTCACCAGGCATTGACGGAAGAAACAGGAATGATATGTAAGGACATACTGCAATAGCAGATACTATGTAAATGGTAGTCTTGTTGGTACTAGGTATAGTAAAGTTTCAAGCTAAAATACCAGGTTGTGGTCAGAAGAAACTTGAGAAAGGCACTGATTTTTATCTCCTCCGTAGCCAAGATTTCTGCTGTTCTTTTTCTTCACTTTTATTACGACATTTTTAACTTTATCATGAACATTACAACTAGGACCAGCCAAGACCACTATTTGAGCCAATAATTGTTCGACGTATACACGAAATTTCAGAAAAAATGCCTCAGGGTCTTGAAATAGAATATATTACAAAGCAAAACAATATATGAAAGGAATTCATATGTGGGGCTGAATATCATCAATGCCACCAATATCAAGTTCAGCTTTACCAGCGGAATGGGTTCTGCAACCACAATCCAAGAAAATGAGATGTGAGATACTCCTGAATATGTAACTGAAATTTGCATGATCTTAACTAGTGAAGCAGTAAAAACTTTGATAACTTACAAACTTCTTCTTCTTCTTTTTCTTGTCAATGTAGGTTTGAAGCTCCTGCTGTTTATCGAGGGCTTCCTCAAGTGCCTGCATAAGTAAGAAAGGAAACAAACAATTAAGATTCAAAGACAGTGACAAGCACATGCACTTCATCGGATTCTTCAGGATTTGAGTTTAAGATAACCAAGCTGTAAGTATGTACCTTCTTAGCTGCAGATAGCTCTTCTTCCAGGGTGCAGACCCTGCTTAAAGCAGCATTCAACATCTCCTCTTTCTCGGGTGGCATAGCTGCTGGTTTCCCCACAAGGAAACTCACCTTCTCTTCCAATTCAGCCATGCGTTTCATCATGGCGAAGTAGTCAGCGCTAGTGATAGGTGGTGGTAGCTGAGCGGCATGGCCTGTGATCATTGGGTTAGCGTAGTAAACTTGACCACCATACAAAGCAGCTTCAGTTAGTTTCCTTGGCATGCTGCGGGACAAGCGAACCATGGTTACAATACCCATAACGAAGGCCATGATTCCTCCGAAAATGTTGGTGCTCATTCCTTCAGTAGCGCTCCTATCATCCTTCATGTAGTAACAGTCTGCAGTTTTGGGGAAAAAAAGTGGGGAATGAATGGTGTCATTGGTATATTCTTATACTCAACAAAATTTATCCAAATGCAAAATCTACATAAAATATTAGATTCATCTACTCATGTAATGTAATGTTTTTAGCAGTCGAAAGTATAAGGAATCAGCTCGTTAGCAAGAATATCTACCTTTTGACAAGGCAAAATTTTCATTTCCCAGTGATTTAGGCCAGGAAGCATCTACACTTTTGTCAACCATTGGAATAAATTTGTCATAGGGAAAGGAATCCTGGCACTTTTTCTTGATAGGAGACTGCAATATATAATGACATGTACTTATGTTAACAGAAAAAAATTGAAAAGCAGAAACTGAGATATGAAATATCATGTTTGATTATTTACAAATTTGATAAATTATATTTGACAATGTATTTGAATTTGACTAATTGGAATATTTAGCTGCATAAATCATGATCTATCTCAATTCAGGATCTCATATGCACTAGAAGTCTAGAGCTCCTAATTTCTTTGCATTGTGGACATGGCAATAATAATGAGAAAACTTACTTCAGCAACAGGAGATAGTGGTGTATTCTCTACATGGCATTCAGCAGTGTCCAAAGCTGTTTCTGCATCGGAGGAATAACTCCTCTTCATGTCCAAAACATCAAAGAAAATGTTAGGCATTCAACTAGATATTGAGGCCTGGGATAATGTGTGAAAATTGAAGTGGCAGAGCCTTGGTTAGGAGTGACTACCTCTCGGCATGGTTTCTCCTCAACGCCTGACATATTCCTCCTTGTGCACTTGGCTTCACCATTGTGAACCCTCTAGCTCAGAAAAATGAAGTACTCAGTTTTATCATTGCACGTACAATTGCAAGTATAATGCAATATATATATATATATTACACCAAAAATCAATCAATCTTTAGGTGAATACCTTTAATATTTCTGGATCGTTCCATGGACCCTTGTCAGAAAGCATGCAACCGCCTTTGTCAGCACAATTACAAGTACCCCCCAAAAACTCTGGCAGTTCACTGTTGAAAACCAAAACAAAGAAATGTTTTAGCATAGAAAGTTTGAAATGCATTGCACATTTATAATTATTTGTCAAAACAACATACTAAGAGAAGTTCTTATCCTGCAAAACTGATGAGAAAGACTTACTTTGCATCAATTACTTCAAGCAATTTGCTCTGATATTTGTTACCCAAAACCTGGTCGATATAATGTAAAGTTGTTTAGCAACATTATAGTATCAAAATCAAATGTAGTGTCAGGTAAATTGGCGACTTATACTTACATGGATTTTTGCAGTGGTCTTTGGGTCAAGGAACGATTTAACTGTGCTCCATAAGAGCCTAAATCCAGAGCCAGCATTGATGATAAACATGCGGTTCAGAGTCTGCAACATAGAAAGGATTCAATTAGCTTCATCTTCACAGAAAAACTTTCATGCTAGAAGTAGACCGAGAATCTCAGGGCAAGTTAAACGGAGCTTATGGAGTAATGAGTACCTCAGGATAATTGTCACCATCAATCTTCTGAAGGCGCTGAAGGAGCTCCCTTGCAGTCTTGTTGAAGCTTTTAAGCCCCTGAAAGTTCATTTATGATGTAGGTATTAGAAGTGCAACGACCCAAATTTTGGAGAAAAATATATAAGGAGCAAATCTCACATACCACTCCTTCCACATCCAATATGGTTGTGCTCTGATTTATGTGTTTTTTTGCTGCAATTGATGCAGCAGGAAACTTAATAGCAAAGGTCTTCTCAAACTCCTTTACATGGTACTTCAGATAGCGGTCTATTGTTGTTACTTGAGTCAGCTTGTTAGCATCAACTTGACCAAGTCTTTCAATATAAACAGGTCGTCCATCCTTATCAACTCCATGATATCCTTGTGGATAGTACTTAACCACTTCATTGTACTCCTTGAAATCAAAGTCCTTAACAAAGAAACCAAAAGAAGAAATTTCAGACACAAATTAAAAAGTTGCACCATAGAAGCAGGTAGTTCAGTGTTTCTGTTTTCGTTTTTAGTAACTAATATACACCTCCATGATTGTGTCAGCCCCAAAATCCTTCCTCCACTGGAGCATATCAGCCCACATTTGCTTTGCTTTATCAAGATCAAATTTCCTGGCCCTCAGAAATCTGTATCATCAAATAATGAGTTAATGACCTAGTCTTTCATCCAATACCATTCATATTGAAATTACATTAGCAGTTTTTCTGTCAAATTTCCTAAACATTGTCTCTAATGCTGTTTATTAAACTCTATGTTCTTCGTCTGAATTAGTGACAACTAGATAAAAGATTGTTACCTTAGCATCATATGATGGTCATCATGTTTTGCAGGTAGTAGTTCATCTAAGATAAGTGCCTGGCGGAACGCATCCACTGCCTGTAGCTCTTCAGCATCGAGGTTATCCTCTATACTAGCAGCGGACATAACTCTACTATGTCTCTTGCTCTTCTTTTTAAGAGAATGTCTAAACTTGCTTGAGGCACTGATTGCCTTTTTCTTAAGAGACCCAAGCCTTGTCTTCCTCTCATCCTCAGAGATCTCTACATCAGATTTTTCAAGACCTGTAAACATTGCAACAAGTGATGATATAGATTTTGGGCGATCCAACCATGTGTAACCTGAAACAAAATAAATTCAAAAACAATATCCCATTGCATTGTCATTTTAAGGTAATTGGTCCTATTGTTTATTCCTTGCAATGAATTTCATATCCAGGATTTGGTTTTCTTTTGAGTTCTGTTACATCTTGACATTGACCATAATCAATATCTGATATGCATCTAAATCTAACATTAGTGTAAGAATCACAGAATGATTGGATAAAAGTTGCAATGTTTATAGAAGACTCACCCATTTTAACTTGTCGTTCAACGGGTAGAGACAAAGTGTCAGCCATGATTACAATTTTGCAATGCTGTTCAGCTCCCGGTTAAAAAGGGCAGCAGGTTCAAGCACTAGCACTCATACAAAGATGCTACTAAGCTTATACCTATAATCACATCCAAACATCGACAAATAAGCCATTGAAATCAAAGGAAATAACAAGTCTTCGAAATTAGTAAGTAAATTTCAAGAATTAGAAGCATGATATGGGATTAAACTGATAAAAAACAATTAAAAAATGCAGAGGGTTGTCATGTTTGCACATGTAAAGATCAAATACATAACATCATGATCATATATATTATATACCTACCAAAAAACAAACAAAAAAATATATGTACAATGTAGAATTGTAAGGGGATTGATGCCAAAACTAATGTCTATGGAGGATCGAAAAGATCAACAGTTTGAACCATAACTGCAGATCCAATGACAGAAAATTTTATGCAAGACGCAAGAGAAAGAGAAAGGGATCATACCATATGACTGGAGGCTGAGGGCTAATAGAGAACGAGAGAGGTGTATATATCACCCGAATAAATCTCTTGAATTAGCGGCCCTTGGAGATGTCTATAAAAAACAACAGACCAGGGATTGATATGGACAGATTTAGTTCTTCTGAAGATAGATTCCTTTAACTTTTACTAATCTTGTCAAGGTCTAAAGGACCTATAAAACTTGCTTGAGTTTCTGTTAAAGGGAGGCAGAGAGGCTGGCGATATGCATGCCACTCCGTTCAAACCTTTGACTGTCTTGTCGCTTTAACTAACTTGCAAACTGACTCCACCCTTTTCCCGGCAGAATTTGCTATACTTCGTTTCTTAATTAAAATTAATGTCCATAGTCATTTATATTACTACTATTTATATGTACTTACAATTCACCACCTATATTTAGCATAAGCCACATGAATGATTGGAATTGGAACCTCAGTTTTTTGAGCTTTGAACAAGGAAATATGCATCGACCAATAAGTCAAATGCTCGGATGCATTTTGATCCTATTTTGAAACAATGAAATATTTTTTATGTGATTAGTATATTATTCTACAAATTATTCCACCATTGAGATCCCAAATTGGAGTAGAGACATGGAAGTTTGGGTTTTGTCAATGTCTCAATCATGAATAGCAAATAAAACATGTGCAGTTTTTGTTAAGTTTAATTTCATATATGCTTTATTCAATGGCTTGTTTCAAAGTTAAATTATATGTCAATTATCCTTCTTCAGCTGCATGATCCACCATTAACAATTTCACCAGGAATGGGGTTGAAGTTGAAACTTCTAACTTATCAACTTCAGACTGTGGGGATATTTCAGAATCATTTTTTATATTATGTAGTTGTTTTTTTATCAGAATGAGTTGGTTCTTGAAGTTTGGGTGAGGAAAGTCAATCTGCTTACACGAGTGGCGTTCCACTAAGAATTGCTGATGTTCTTCCTACTGCATAGTGCCAACTGGTACTACTCTTTTCTATTTTTTCTTGAACATCATGCTTATATATATATATATATATATATATATATATATAGATATTAATCCCTATAGAATGTAAATATTATGTCAAATTTATATTAATCTACTCAGAAAGCCATTAATTCAATCAAACGGCAACGGCTTCTTCAGGTTTTTTGGTTCATATTCTTTGATCATGTAGCAGACTAGCACTAAGAGACTACACGTGAGTCATGTCTGCAATATTTAAAATTTTTTTTTTCAAAAATTTTGCCAACTGGCCAAAAAGAGTTTAAAAAGATTCATAATGATTTTTCTTGTTTTGACAGATTCTTCAAGAATGATATTGAGATTACCAAAATATCAGAAGTTTGCTAGAATGGTAGGGCAAATGTCAACTAAGGTAAAGACTAAAGACCTATGATTGAAAGGGAAAAATTGAAAAAGAAAAAAAGAAAGAGCTTTGAGGTCTTGAATTCAACTATTGTTGCCCTACTCCCCGACAAACTAAGAAATTCATTCTATTTTATTTACATTACATTTCCTCCCTTTTTTTGACATAGCCTAGGGTTCAACTACTTAATTGCATCAATAATGGCCAACTAATCCTCCAGGGTTGGCAACTTGGCATAACAATTCATAGCCCACTTTTTGATATGGTTTGAATAAATAGTATATAGCCCAACCTTAGGTATGATATGGGCCCTATGATTATTGCCTTCGGCCTAGTTCTACTAGAACACAAGCGAGCTAGCTGAGCTTACGAGACAATTAAAAGCGCATTTCAATAAATAATAAAATCTTTCAAAGCCCTTATTTCTGGATCACAAAAAAATGGATCTGTCAGTCCAACATTGTTATTCTAGCAGAATGGGCTCTGTTTCCTTTGTCGGAAGCACCTTCAAGATTTACTTAAAACAAACCATATGGGATACTTTTCAACGATCAAGCTGGGACGTTTTCGGTTTACTAGTTCAAAATTTACCGTTTCTGTAGTAGCATGAAGGTATGATGTGAAATAGATGATTATCCGAACCAAATAATTAGACAAAGAAAAATCATATCAATTCCACACAAATGGTAAGTAAAAAAAACATTCATATAAGTTCAGAAATATGAAATTGTAGACTTAATTTGTTTCATATTAGCAGGCTTTCATGATTTTTCTGCAGAAAAGAAACGGAGTAATCTTCTTCTCTATGAAAACTACACCAATTTACTGAATGATTAGTGTTTGTTGGTCCCCTGTATCTACCTGTTCCTTGCTCTTACCTTGTTTCTCTACTAGCTTTTCCCCATCTTCTGCTGCTTCGGCTTCTTCCGATTTCTTTTCAGTAGCGTCAGCTTCTTGACCTTCTCCTAGCTTGCTCTCAAGAAACTCGATTAGACCTTGTAGCACTATTTCAGGCACCTCATCTTTCATCAGCTGCTCACCTACTTCTGCAGGTGTCACCTTCGTTATCTCTAGCAATTCCTCAATCTCTAAGAAAAGCGGGTGCTCTGGCAGCCCAAGGTAATTAGAAGCCAGCATTTTGAACCCACATGGAGTGCAGTAAGACATGTGGATGTGCACATCCATTCGACCAGGGCGCAGCAAAGCTGGGTCAAGCCGGTCCTTGTGATTGGTTGTGAACACTATAATCCTTTCATCCCCACAGCTTGACCATAACCCATCTATGAAGTTCAGCAGCCCTGACAGAGTTAACTGATACTGGTAGAAAGCAAAGTGTGAATCTGAGGTTCCAATGGATTCATTTCCATTCTCAATATTAAAAAGCACAGCAACAGTGGTTATGATAATATCTCATTATCCAAACGCCCTTTCATAATTCATTGTCCAGAGATCAAAATATGAATTCCTTATAAGAGGCAAGAAAAAATTTCCCCTTAAAGCTTTTAAATATATGAATTTCCATGGTATCAACATCATATTTAAAGCATACACAAAACACAAAGAAAAAAAAACATCCTAGCATAAAATTAAGAGGTTAGTATTTTTACAAGCATAGTCTTCTAAATTATATACCTGAGGTAATTGATTAAGTCGATGAGAACCTTGTGGCACCGCAGCCCTGGCTTGAGCAAGTCTATCCTGCAACTCCAGAGAACAATCAATATCCTCCACAACCAGTATTGATTTATTCCCAGTTGAAATCACGAGCTTCCTGAGCTCTGAATTCCCCCTGATATCAGTCAACTCCAAGTCATAAATATCAAAATTAAGATAGTTGGCCATGGCAGCAATCAAGCTTGACTTCCCGGTGCCAGGAGGCCCAAACAACAAGTACCCTCTTTTCCAAGCCTTACCTACCCTCTTATAATACTCCTTTCTTTTCACAAATCTCTCCAAATCCTCCATTATTTTCTTCTTCACCTCTGAATCCATTGCCAGGGTTTGAAAAGTAGCCGGATGATCGAGATTCACTGACTGCCACATATCCCCTCTCCTTCCGGGCATCCTATCATATTTCAAGGTAAATAACTTCAAGGTCTTCTTTTGCTGCTTCAATTCTTTTGCTTTGTCCAATATGTGCTGCATATAAACGTTCAAGATCATTTCTTTATGTTTCTTGTGGAAACTTAGCTCGAAGAACCGAATCTCGGATTTAAGCACAGGGTTGTAAGGATCAGACCCTGGAATATACTTGGGAGGCAATTTTTTTGTAACAAACTTCCACTTCACTTGAACCCCATTAAAGTTATCAATGATTTCTTCATTCTTTTCAAGGGACAATGAAATCTTGCCTCCTCTTCTTGGCATGGTTACTCTAATTCTCTTCGTGTCAGGAGGGATTGTGGGCTCAAGATAGAATTCTGCAGACTTATAAAGAAGGTTATGGCTGAGACCATCGTATTCTTCAATGACTAACGTGAGGTCTGAAGAGAAAGAGACAAGGATATTCTTGATTTTTAAGTAGATGTAGTCTCGGAGCTCTCGAGGAACGAATTCTTTGGCGAATGATCGAACCAACATGGCAGTGGCGGCAACTGATGCAGCAGCCGAGAAGATGACCTTGGCAGAGGGGACTTGGTTAATGGCATTGGTAAATAGGGGGGGTTTTCTCACTGTGGGCATTTTTGTTGGTTTTGACAGAACAGAATGAACTGAAAAGAAAGAAACTTCCCTGCTATAAAAATGGTGGGTTTGGGCATTTGGGAAAATTGTTCTGCAAGCAATCGACAGAATTATTGACTTGGGAGACCAAGAAAAAAGATCGAAAAGACAAAAAGATGGAAGTCAGTAGTAAATCCAGAAACGGAGATTGAAGTTCACAGTCCAATCTTTTCTCAGGAATTGAAATCATTAGCGCGTGGCAAATGACTGTTGCTTTTTACTGTATTTGTTGAAGAAATTTCTCATCTCCTTCCAAAGTTGCCTTATTTTTTTGTAGGGGTTTTTTAATGAATGGCTTGGAAAATGGAAATTATAATAAGATTCCATGGACTGAACTTTAGTAATCCTTGATAATGATAATTTTGTCTTGTTTTTCGATATTATTAATTAATTGTTTACATTTGTTGTATTATAAACGAATAAATTTTATATATTAAATCAAATTATATTAATTTATTAATAAATAAATATTAATTTTTAAAATAAATATATAAAAAAATTATTATTTTTAAAAATTTATTCATTAATAAAATAAAATATTTTATTTATCTCATTAATTTGATAATATTATTAAATTCACTAATAATATATTAAATTTATACATTATTAATACATTAAAAATAAATCTATTAATCAGAATAATATTATTTTATTATTATACCAACAACAGCGTTGCCATAATAATATTTTATCTTGGTTGATTAAATATTAAATTTTTAATTAAAATTTTTTGTAATGAGAATTCAACTTTAAATATTAAAAAAGAAAGTATTATTTTACTATTAAAGGTAAGAGTTAATGCTATTAATTTCTACAATAAATACTTTTTTGTTTCTTGAAATTAATAAATTTTGAGTTTAAAATCGCTAATTTTTAATTGGCGGTGTGTTGTGTTCATAGATACAATCAAATTTTTTTTTAAGATTTTGTTTAAGGTTCGGTTTTATCTTCTCGAATTTAATAAATTTAAAATTTTTTAAAAATATATTAAATGTTAAATGTTTAATATTTTAAATATATTTTTAAATTTAAATAAGATTAAAAATAAAATATTTTTAATAATAATTTAATGTGGCCGAATTAGTCCTGAGTTGAAACATTCATATCTAAAACTTGTTAAAATCGAGCTAGACGAACTGATGAACAGATGCGTTCTTTTACCCAAAAAAATTGAGTTTTTGACTTATAAAATAAATAAATAAATGCTTCGTTCGTTAAGAAAAAAATTCTAATTTCTAAAATTGACAAAAAAATATTAATTATTAATATTACCGTTTTGCCCTATCCTTTTTAAAACTTGGGCCGAAAGAGCCATGCTTTGGGCTAAATAGCCCAATTTATATCAAGAAAAAGTTAGCATATCTACGCGTGAATCAGACTCAAATCACCATCTTAAAAACAACCGTTTTGATCACTTTATATGCAGATGCTTCGACAGATGATCCTATCTCATCTTTTTCTTTTCCCCTCCACATTCATTCCCAACGATAAGCAGTCTGTTTCCCTATGTCTCTTTTTCCTAAAAAAAGCGTTTGATAATTGGCAATAAAGGAGAAGAGAGAAAAAGTAGAGTGATAGGGTGAAAAGGAAAAGAGTATGTTATCTCAGGCCAAACAAATGCCAGAGCCACCGTCATTTGCCAATTTTTTTAGGTTTGATTTTTTTTTTTTACTTTTTGATCAAAATTTTTTTTTATATCTAGAATGTTTGAGATCGTTTACGGTAATACCAGATTTGATTTTTTTTATTTTAAAAAATTATCAGATCTGGTTTTTTTTTTTTTAAATTTCGATTTTCCCTTTCCCTTTGTTTGGTTTTGATTCTTTCACCTATCTTTGTCCCTGTTGGTAGTTGTTGGTTTTGAAAGAAACTTTTTTCTTTCCCTTGCCACACTTGAAGATAGTGGGGAGGTAGAGCATTGTGGCCATAGGTGTGCTTCTTTGGATGTGGAAAGTAGGCGGGATTTTTAATCTAAAATATTTTCAACTATGGTTCTCTGACAACTAATATTTTTATGCTATTTTTTAAAAAAATTTTGTGGATGTATATGCTTCGTTCTTCCTTCCGTTCTCTCTTTCAGTTTGTATTTTAATTAAATACAAATATGTTGATATGCCTTAGAAATTAATTTAAACATCTCATGCATATTTTTATATTTAATTTTTAGTTTATTTTAATGAAATAATTTATAATTTTTATGTGCAAATGTATTTATGTATGTTATCTGATTAATATTGATTATAAAATTTTACCAACTTTTCTAATTGGTAACAAGTTGTTACCAATAATATGTATGATCTCAAATACCATAATGAATAGCTATGGTACACCAGGGAATGTGCTTAAACTAATTAGTTTTGCATGGGATTATTAATTTTTAAATTTTAATTATTTAAATACTAAATTAAATTCAATTATCTTATATATAAATGAAAATAAAATTTTAATTCATTATCTAAATTAAGAATGTATTGATTTTTTAAATATTATTATATATAATGAGAATTATGTTAGTTGATTTGTAAGTTCTTTCTTTTCAAAATTCAAAACGAATTTGAAGTTCATATTAATTATTTAATGCATAATTTTCATCAATTATCTCTAATTAAATTAATTGGTGTCTTTTAAGTTTGAAAAATGCGTTAGAAAATTATTGGCATTTATTGGAGTAAATTGAATAATAAATATAATAAATTATTACATTATTAGAGATTTGTTATTTACCCATCAATAAGCCATGATAGTTTGAAAAATGGATCTAATAATAAGAAAATCGTGTTAATAGGCACAAAATTTTAAAAATAAATTTGATTTTTAAAAATTAAAATAAAAATCAAGTTTTCAAATAATGTTAGTGTTGATCAAATCGAATGTTATCGACAAATCTAAATTAAATAAGGATTTACACCATTCAAGAGGTTAAGAGTTAATAATTTATTTATTTTAATGATTTGTACTGTAAATATAATATTACAATAATTTTTTTTATAAATAGCCAATGTTTTTATCTTTTATGAATAAGTTACAATTCAAGTTGTAATTAAAATTTAAATTTTCATTATTTTTTTACCTTAAATTGCTTAAAATTAAATTCCATTTTTAACTTTTAATATTTAACATTGACACTACATAAGATAGGAGTTTGCTTTGATATATTACTATTTAATAATTAATATTAAAGAAATTTAAATTTAAATTATCATCGAAAAACTAAAATTTAATTTTATATATTGCTTTTTTAATATTACAATACTACATTAAATGAAAGATTTCTTTTATATTTCATGACAAAGGGATTTGTGTTACTTCTAATTAATTAATTCATATAAAAATATATTTTTTTAAAAATGATTATTCCTCAACTGTTGACATTCGAACAAAAACTTGTAAAATTTGAAAACTATATAGTCATTAAATTAATAACTATATACTTTTATAAAAAAAATTATTAATTTCATTACCTTATTTAGATAAATTTTATCATACATTAAATTAGTACTATAAACTCTCGATTTGATTTTTATATTATCTAATATTTTATATTTATAATATAGCCTAAAATATAATCGTAAAATATATGTTAAATATATACATATCAACGAGAAAAAATGGTATGTACAAGTATGAAATAAATATGCTTGCTAATTAAATCTTTTAATTTTATTATTTAATGGTTAATTGACAAATATAAATATCAATTGATCCACTGCAATCAAATTATTAGATTTTTTTAACATATAAAAATAAAATTTTAAAATTAATTTTAACATATATTTTTTAGATTATAAATTCTCTTAATATTTTTGTTTGCTTGATGAATTCATAAAAATTAAAATAATTTATTTTAAAATGAATGATTGTCCAATCATGAATTAATGTTATATTGTTATGTGCTTTATCATACATTTTATATTAAAATTCAAATCTCTTCTTTTAATTCTAGGTTACCAAATCTAATATATAGGTTGTTGAAAAAAATAAAGACAAAATATGCTTTTCAATTTTAAATGAAATTTTTTATGGACAATTTTTTTTATATTTTGATTTTAGATTGTAATATTGGCTTTGTATAGCTATTCTAAAACGATGAGATATTAATAAAAGCCTATTCAATGTTATTGCTTCCTTAAAACTTGCTATAAAAAGAGTTTGTTTCTCTCTCTCTCCCTCTCTCGTTTTTTTTTTTTTCTTTTTCTTGCCACTTTGTGATATTCATTTGAAGTATTAAAGAGGCTTTCGATGGTTATGACGATAGTTCCCTTCATTCCATGGTCAGTGGCTCTGTGTAATGTGATACCTCAGTGATTTTTAAGTGTCGGAATACGCTCCGAAGCAACTACTTTGACACCCCTTGTTTTTTTACTGCAAGTTCTACTTGTCTTCACGACCTCACCTCATCCTTTCTCAGTTAGAATATTCAAAAACACCATCATCAATTATATAAAACAAATCTAAATTTTAAATCCTATTACCTATATATATTTTTTAATTTTTTGGACTGCCAATTTTTGTGTATAAATTTTTTTTTACTATTTTAATGTGTTTCTACTTCTTCCAATAGATTAGATTAAGCCATTAATCACTATCTACCTCCCCTTAACATAAGACTAATTTTATTGCATAGTAAAGTCTCTGTGGAGATCGTTTTACCAACCCAAATTACTTTGATCTAAATTATCAGCAGTTCTCTTTTCTGATGGTGATACATAGCAGAGCTGTTGCGGTGCAAATAAAACTTGATGTTAGCGGCTATTGCGTTGCGGTAGCGGTCACTATGGAAACCCTAAAAGCGTTTCATTGCCGCCCATATATCATGCATCGGCCTTTAACAAATCAAATGAGACATCCTATGCCTCTTGTTTGGTGGCCTCCTGGACCAATTCTTTTTACAATATTTGGTTTCAATTTGGCCCATTTAATTCCCAGCCCAAAGGGATACATCACAAAAAAGATTCAATGAGTCTGGTGGGTTTTGGTCTATTTTCAAAAGCCTGGGAGGTTTATGAATCTTTGAAACCAATGAACTTGTAGTAGTTTCTAAAGTTCTTTACTTCCCTTTAAAAGAAAATAAAAAACCCTTACTCCACTTTTTTTTTTGCCCAATTTTATTGTATGAATGATCTGTTGTTCAGGCTGTTAACATAAGAGTTTCAGTGACCAATATTTTGTCATGTGGTGTTAGAATCTCAAGTCTTTTTGTTTTTGAACTTTTACTCTCAAAATGAAGAAAAAGATACAAGGGAAGGGAAGGGAGGGGCCAATAGATTATTGTTTTTTAGCTCTTTCTATGTCATAATGAGACAACTTTTTTTTTTTTCTTTTCCTTTTCCTGTGGGGAACTGTTAGGAGACGGTAGGAAGTCAAGTCATTTACAGCAGTTTGCCGCTTCTTTCCTTCCACGTGCGATCTTTCAAACTCACTAACGAAGCACAATATGGTTTCTTCTCAACTGCCAAATGGGTCATTTTGTTCATTCATTTTCCGAATTTGTTTCTGACTTGTACAGTTTACGATTATTTATGTACCTACAGTGAAGCATGGTTTCATTCTTCAAGCGTGCAAATGAACAGTAGAAAAGGCAGCTGGCATTTGTCTGAATTCTGGATTTTGGAAATTGGAAGTAAATTATTAGAACAAGAACTTTACTTCGAGTAGCCCCCACGGATACAGCCAACAGAAAACTGAACTAGTCATGTTTGCCAACTGTTTAACATTGATTCAAATTCTGGTGAGTGCTTTGATGGACACGAATCTAATCCAAGTGGGAAGACAAGATATTATGATTATTATCCAAAACAAACCAAAAAAAGAATGACACAATTATGGATTTTTGAACTTGGATGTTATGCCCAAACCCAACAGTTGAGTGAGTCAATCCCAGCTGGCTATACCAACTGCTGTTCTTATCCCATTAAGATTTAAGCCAAAAAAAAAATCAGTCTTTTTTTGACTTGTGAGTTGAAGACTAAGGTAAAGGTAAAGTTGCTTTTTCAGGTTATGGAGGGCTAACCAGTCACCAGTAAAAAAAAAAAACTACATTGATTTGCTAGTTCAGCTTTAAGCTTTCCTCTGTGACTTTAAATTCGAATTCCTGAATTGGCAATTCGGCATCTAAAGGATATAATTTTCATAGCACAAAATTTGGAATACATTCTGAAACCATGATCATGTATTGGCATATACTAAGGTGAGTGGTAATACGGTCGGAAATTCGTCTTATCTGCATAAATCTAATTTCTAGAACAATTTCTGAATCTAAAACAGTCGAATAAGGTTCAAATTCGTGGTTTCTGACGGCTAGACTATTTTTGTTGCATAGCCAAGCATCAGAGTTTCGAGCATTTCGATAAGGAGAAAAAATTTTAGCTAATTTTTAAATCCAGACTTGAAACAAGGACGATAAATTGGGATTTCTCGTTGAATTTTATGATTAAAATAACCATGTACATAGCAGTATGAGCAAAGGAGAGGAAAGGCAAAATCAAAAGCCTAAAAACAACCATAAAAACAGGAGAAGGGAGCACCAGGATTTGTTTTGTCACTCTAAATCTGTCCAAATCATCGAGTACTCTTCTTCCCTTAGAAGTATTTTTTGCCTGGCAATGAAAGCCTCGACCGTTTTGCGAAACTGCTCATTGCTCATTCCATCTTCAGGATATGAACTCTTCACCATTTTCTCATCAGAATCATTGTCTTTTCTGTAGTTCTCGGACTCCGATCGCCTGAGTTGGTGGCAAGCTTTATTGCAGTTCACCCGCTTTAGATTCTCTGATTGACTCTTTCTATAATTCTTTGTTCCCTTTGGAGTACGCACATTGAGACTAACTATTTTCTTTTCACCTCCAGTCTTCTCGCTTTGTTTTTCTCTGTATTCGGTTTCACATCGATGAATTGCGTGACTTTTCTCACTCTTCTTAACAAATTCTTCGTAAAGATCAGTTCCTGAACGTTTTGAAGCAGAATCTTGAGCTGAAAACTGCCCAGCCTTCGCAAAGAGAGTAATGACTATAGCATTCCCAACGATGAACACAAAGCAAGGGCTCACAAGAACAACTGACAAACCCCGAAAATACTCACCAGAATTTTTAACAGCTACTGGGAGTTGAGTAGTAAACCTGGAGATCAACACCAGAACAACACAAACCTCAATAAACCTGAGCAAGTTTGCTATATTGCACAACTGACGATGTTTCAAGATTGCTTTTCTCTTCTCAAGTTTTATGTCAAATGTATCCATTTACAAAAAGGAAGCAAAGAAATCCTGGGAAAGTCGAAGGCAAAAATTGTTTTTTCTTTTCGTTCTTTTATCGATTCTCACTCGAAAGAAGATTGGATCATTATGGGAGCTTGAGCAGCAACTATTTCTGTAAGTAGAGAAGAGAAGCAGCCTACTATGATCGTAGTAGATGCTGAGAAGAATTCAGTGATTAAGTTCATGGAAAAAGAGAGTAAAAGGTAAGGCGAGAATTGACGAAACAGAGGAAACAGTGTGAGTGATTTGTCTACTCTGTTTGTTCTGCATGGAGTAAATTCTATTCTCCTCTTTGTTCTTTGGATTGGGAATATTTTTGTTCTTCAATGCTTCAATAAGGTTGCTATTTATAGAACTTAGGAATATTTGTTTTATTTTTCTTATATTCCATCTTTTTCTTTTTCTTTTTCCTTTCTTTTTTTGGGAATTTTTTTAGAAGGGAAAGCACATAATATTCCTTTCATTTACTATCCTTTGTTGGAAAATCTGCTGTTATAGTGTTAAGGGTTACCACTCCCAAAGTACTTGAATTTGTACTACTCCTTGCTACCGTTCTTGAATGTCATTTTTTCCATACAAGAAATATGATATAGATGTACTGCAATTTAGAGCTGTTCGTAGTTTAATCTGATCCGGTCGGTTCAAATATTTAAATTTTTATTCAAAATTAATTTAATTAGGATGATTAAATTCAAAAGATTCAAGTTTTTAAAATTTTTAATATTTTGAAATTTAATTAAAATTTTATTTTTATTAATTAATTACTAATTTAAACTGAATTCGAAATAAAAAATTTTGTCCAGAGATTGGCTTGGATCATTTCAAACTTGTAAACTGATAGATAATTCAATCCATAAATAGGTCTGTTACAATTGTTTATGCTCGAGTCCCTTCGACTTCAAGTACCACAGAGTGCAAAAAAGAATGGAAGATGTGTCATAACATGAAAGACCCAAACCCAAAATGCTGAGATTGACTTGTCTAGTAGACTGTATAAGTTAAAGTTATCCACGTGGCAACTGTTGACAGGACATGTCACTATCAATAAGATTCCAATACCAATTCCTTACTCACTAAGCCATTGCCACGTAACCTCTACTTTATGTTACTCTCTTGTCCTTTAACTGGCGTTCAGTTATTCACTCCCTGTGCCTCAGACCCACCAATAATAGAGTGAGAGTTTTTTATGCTACTTTTAATTATGCCACGTGTCATTTGGTATTTTAGTTTTAGCATAACTTAATCACCAAACGGGGTTTGTCCTTTCCAATTTTTTTTTTCTTGCGGTTTTCGTTTCAAAGGATGATTGATGTAGACATTAAACGGTATTCTTTTTCATGGAAGAAAGGTAAGTAAAAAAACTATAGATAATTAATCATTGTGCATTTGACACGAAATGATTTAAAAAAAAAAAAGTTGCAAGGAAATTCAATGGCATCATTTAAAAGTAAAAAATTATTGTAAATATTGAAGATTAAATTATATATTGATTAAATATTATTTTTAAAAATAATTATAATAATGAATTAAATTAATTTTTAATTTTAAAAATATTTAATCTCAAAACTTTTGAAATGTGTATACATTTGATATTTACATTAGCATTAAGCATGACCTTTGAGCAATCGCAATAGACGTTACTCGACAGGAATTATTCGTAGATTGTCCAATTAAGAATTTTTTTTTTGTCAAAATAAAAGTGCTAAACCATTAAAAGGATAAGAAAAAAAAATCGAGTAGTTCTCACTATTAACAAAGGAATATAAAACCCACTTGGAGGGCGAATTTAAAAATGATTGGGCTTTAGGGGAAAGATGGACTTAGATCTCTGGGCTCCATTTACTCCTTTATTTTACGTTATCCAATTCAAACAAGTGGCAAAAAGCATTCCTTTTGAGCATAAATTCATGCTATTTGGTTCCTTCGTGGGAACTCGGTCCTTTCAAGTCATTTTTTTGTTTAACGGGGACAGAACCCTATATTAGTGGTGGAGGAGAGTAGGTTCGGATCGAACCCTAATTTAATATTTTTAAAATTTTTTTTTAATTATTAAATAAAAAAGTTGAAGATAATTTTTTTTAGTCATTGATTTATAAAACAAAGATAATTTGTGAATCTTGTATTAAAGATTTAATTAAGTATAAACTTTTCTTCTAAAAAATTAATGTGACTTTTTCTTTAAAGATGATTTTTTAACATTATCTTATATATTATTTTCTTGAATTTATTTAAATAAATTTATTTATGTTAAACCTAACGAATTTATAAAAAATTAATATGCGCCTATAATTAACATGACTTTCTTATTCATAAAGGCTTTATACAGAATAAGCATAGATAAGATAAAAAAAAAAAAAAACAAAAGAAAAACTCAAATTCTGATTTGATCCATTTGATTAATAGAAGGATTAATGTTTAATGTTTCTTTTTCAGTTGATGGAACATCAAATGCTTTCTTGTTCATCTGCTTATTTTTAAAACTTTATTCCTCTCGGTTTGGAGTGGAAGTTGAATCAATAACACGGGATCAAGAATCACCCTAAAATTAAAACCCTAAAAAAAATCACCCTAAAATTCTTTTAATAATTGATGATCTGATTTCAGAATGATGCCTTTGGTTTGCTAAAATGCCCACAATCATAAATCAAACACGTTGGATTCGTTGATTATTGAGTTGGATCCCACTAATTTTTGGTGTGCTCCTTTTAATTGGATTCTCTTTATTTACAAACAACAAAAAGCTAAACAAATAAAATAAAAATAAATCCTTCATTTTCCTGTTTCCTTTCCATAAAACGTAAAAAATATAAACGGAAAAAATTTCCGACCTGCCGGATTCGAACCAGCGACCTAAGGATTAGCTGTCAGGCAATGCCCACTACAGTCCTCCGCTCTACCAACTGAGCTAAGGTCGGCTTCGGATCGTTTCATGTATACAAATTTTCAACCATCACATTCACATCCATTCCAGCCACGAAAGGGCAAATGTGTCATTCTTCTGTTAATTTGTCCGTTGCCACGCTTAAGGTGCATTCAAATAACGGGTCCTAATTAATTTAGTGACTTTTCAAGGGATTAAGATTTTATATCAAAAATTGTTTAGTAAATCGCACTTATAAATATATAAAGAAAGTTGACTGATTATTATATTTTGACAATGACTTATAATTTTGTAACTCGTTGGTCAGTAAAATAATATTCCACCAATTAAAATTAATTTTGCTTGAATGAATTTCATTTTCTTTTAACTTCTTAAATATTGCTTAGTATTTTCTAGAATGGGTTTATAAATTAATAATTTTTAATTAGTGGCTAAAAATTCTTCTTTCTTACTTGCATATATAAAATGTCTTTCTCGTTAAATGCTAATTAATTGAAGATTAATCAAATTATTATGACATCACATATTGTAAATTAACAACGCAAGTGTAGGAAAAACTAATAAAAAAAGATTAAAAATGCCCTCATCTGAAAATAAAATTTTCAATTTATATTGAAAAGGGAAAATAAACTCTAAGAATCTGCCTTTAAAATTAAAAAAAAAAAACCCTTTCTCTCTTATGCATCTGAAGTGACCATTGATTGCTTAATTTGGTATATATGCACATGTTATTAAAAAAAAAAAATCACGATTACGATGGTCAAGAAGTTCACCTAATATACTTGAGCTTATCACAGGAAGTTTCAGTGGTATTAATCCTTTAGCCCCGGCTTGACAGCAACACTGAAGTACAAGCTGCAATAGAATATGTACTCTAAACTTTGGCATTTTGATTGAACAATAATGATTCAATAATTTATTTGTGATTCATTATTTTTTCTTCACAAGCAGTCAACCTCTTATAGAAGGCATTGCTGCAGACGTATATTTATGTCAACCTCTGCCAATTATCGTGGTTTGTGTAAAATGTTATGCTTTGCTTACGTATATTGTTAAAATTTAATATAATAGCTAGAGAATATGTTCTGTCAACTTAAATTTTTAAAAGCAATCAATTAGTTAATTTAATATGATATCAATAACTCAATTTAATATATATAATTAAGCTTTCTTTCTTTTTCAATCTTGTTAATCTAAAATTTGCAATTTATATTGTTTTAAAATGATGACTTTGAATTCGAAATTTAATTTAATTATTTTATATAATAACTCTTAAAAGTTAATATTTAATAAATTTAAAAATCAAATCTTAATATTTGTAATTTTTTTTAATCTATAAACGACGATATCTTTTGTTTAAAAAAATGACTTCAAAAATTTAGATTTGGATTTAGGAAATTACTTTGGTAGAAGAATTGGAATCCGACGAGAAATATTCGGACTATATTATAAAGTTATTAACAGCTGATATGGCTACACAAATTTTTAACCAAAATTGAAATGTTAAGATAGTCAATGATTAATATCAAATTCAAACCCTCTAAAGAATATTGCCGTTGACCCAGGAAGCCCCTCTTGCATATGGCTGGTGGAACCGTACACGCCGCAAGCACCAAGTGACCAGGCTGGTCTATAATTAAGAGATGATCGATGTAAATTTGTAAATTAATTGTCACCTTTTAATTAGATTAAGACTTGAATTGATTTTCTTTTTGAAACAAAAATATTTCTTTTAATTTCTTATATCGGCAAGTTGGCCAACCCTACATTTTAAAAAATTGATGAAGTGATCAACGAGGTGTTGGCTCAATGGTAGGCAATTTGATCTTAAGCGGATTTTACTTACCAAAAGGTAGGGGTTTGAAACTTGAAAGAAGCCCTCGTTGGAAGGGGAAGTAACTTAGGTGATCACTGTTTTTTGATCACTGATGCTTTATTCCTTGAAATGGTGACACCATTTTCGTCATCATTTTCTTACCAAAAAAAAAAAATTAATGGAATGTATGTGAAAGGAATTCATGTTGCGAGAAAACGAAAAAGAATTAATAGACTTCGTACATTTTAATCACATAATTAATAATGCTAAAATTTTCTTATCCCAGAATTGGAAAAAGTCTTCACCAAGAAAAAAATGTTTGAATGGCTGGAGATTTAAATCAAGTTGATATTAAAAAAAAAAAAAAACAAAATTTTATAAATTTTGGTGTGAATCAAGACTATTGAAATAATGGAAAATAATTAACTTAAGGCTAGAAATTAATTAACCAGAGCATTTGAAGTTTTCAATACTGCACCATGACATCTTCATTTATTCAATTTATTGTGCAACTAACCTTATTATTTCCAGGATTTGACTATTCTAGAGATAAAGCAAGCTTCTGTTACAAATAGTCTCAACATCCTCAGATTGTGCGAACT